CCGGGCAGCCACATTCCCTCTCCCAAGCCCCAGTCCACCCACCCCTGAACCTGCCCTGCCTTCAGCCCAGAGCACCTGGAGCCGGACCGCATGCTCATGCCGCCTCTTCATGTCATTAATGTACCAGGCCACACAGGTCATGGTGTCAATGGCATCCTCCACCACCTCGAAGCCATCCTCTTCTTCATCAAAGTGTTTGGCAATTTCCTGTGCACGAGACAGGGGTTTAGGCAGCCCTAACTTGAAGACCCTCCCCCATGGCCCAGGTACCTGGGAGGCCCCGTGGGCTACCTGGAGCAGCAGGTGGTACTTGAGGATGCGCTGGACTGGCTTCAGCAGGTAGGAGCCCAAGGGCAGTGAGTGCTGCAGCAGCTCCTGCCGGTCCCGGAAGAACTTGGCCTGTTGCTTGTCCTGCATACACTCTGTCAGGGCAGCCACTGAGCTGGGAGCGAGGAAGAGGGGCTGTCACCGCCTGGGGAAGTCTGGACTCACCAAATGGCTCTACCTCCCCGCTCCACCCCAATTACTCACTTGGGGTAGTTGTTGCAATACTGGGTGTAGATATCAAATTCTTGGCTCTAAGGAGAGACCAAAAATAGTGATTTCAGGGAGCCTCCCATTTGATTGTATACCTGGTGGTACCAAATTCAGGTCCCCAGCTTCCAGTGCATGCTCTGTCTTCCCTACCTCCGAGTACCAGCAGATCCATCTTTGTACTGTTTGTCCAGGACATCCCATTCACCCAGCAGCCCCTGGCTCCACCCCAGATGCCCTCCCTGTTCAAGGCAGGGCACCTGGCACTTCCCCTGTAGAGGGATCCCCAGGACTCTGATGTCCCCTTGTGCTGGAGTTCCTGTCCCTCGAGCTTCCAGCAGGGCTGGAGGGGCAAGGACTCAGCCCTTCTTACCCTTTCCACAAAGCAGCTGGCCACAGCCACAGGGTCATTATTGCAGCTGTCCAGGTCTCTGAGTAGCTGGCTGGGTGAGGGGAGAGTGGCCATTAGTCCCAAGATCTCTGCAGCCACTACAGTCAGCCACACACCCTCTCCCCAACCTCCTCATGCCCAGACTCACAGCCAGCCCTGTTGTCATGCTCAAGAGTTGGGGTTTCCACCCTCTGAGTGGAACCTGCCCAGGGCAGCAACCACAGAAAGCAGCCAACACCACCACAAAGACAGAGAGTGAGGGAGACCCGTGTGCTCGGCAAGCAGGAAAGGAAGTGGGGACACCAGTACCCACCTCAGGAGGGGATACAGCTCCTCTGCGGGCAGAAGGAGTCAAACACACAAAAGCAGAAATTAAAGGGGAGAAGAAGAGAGAGGGGGTTCCAGCAAAGGAACTCAGGCTCCCAGTTCAGAAGGATGCGGGAGACAGGGGGAGACAGGGAGAGACAGGCAAGTCCCAGCACCCTTGTTCTTAGATGGGGTCACTGTAAAAAACCCTGGAAACAATGCCCCCCACCTCCTCCGTCTGTGCCCCTCCACTTTTCCCAACCCCCACCATTGGCCTAAGTCTTGCCTGTGCCCTGCCCTCCCAGACTTCTCCAGATCTGCCCATCTTAAGGGACCTGGGGGAAGGTTCCTCCTGTCCTATCAATGCTGTGGTCCGAAAGCAGCAGACTTGGGCCCTCAAGGAGCCCCCTTTGCCCTGAGACGGCCCTGAGACAGCCCTGAGACAGCCAGGCCTCGTTATGCCTCCCCCATCAGTCTTGCCTGGCCAGTGCATTCCACTAACAGGACAGATCATCTCCAGGGAGCCCTAACTTCCCCTGGGGTTGGTGGGAAGGAAGAGAGGAAATTAAAAGATGTGCAAGTGGGTGACAAAGATGAGAAGAACTAAGGAACCACCCACAGGGAAGAGCACCAGTGTGTGAGGGTCCAGTGGTCTCTGAGAGGTGCAGGCCCAGGCTGGACCCAGCAAGTACATGCCCTCAAACGATCTCCCCACACCTGTGATAAAGCACATCAGCCCCAGGGCACATTTTCCCAGCTGCTGCCCTCTCTCCTTCAGGGAGCTAACTACACGGTTGTACAGGTAGGGACCACCCTCCTCATCCTCAGGGATTAGGCCACAGGCCCTCATGTCATAGCCCACCAGTCCACAGCCATCCAGGGAATCCCCCCAGGCCCTGAGGTGGCCCCCCAGGCAGAATGTGGTGTCAGGTGCACTCACATACCTGTTCAGTGCATAGATGTTTTCTATGTTCCCGAAGAGGGCACTGACTTGCTCTGGCTTCAGCAGCCCAGGTGTATCGATGATCTTCAAGAGGTAGTCCTGCATGGAGAGAGGCAGTCAAAACTCGGTCCATCCTGGCACAATCCCGTCCCCCACCTCCCCTGCCACACCTCATTTCTATACTGCATTATACAGCTAGGTCACAATTTCACAGACATCAGCTACTGCACTGGGATAGCGTCCACCCAAAATTTCATGTCCACTTGGAATCTCAGAATGTGACCTCATTTGGAAATAGGGTCTTTGCAGATGTCATTAGTTAAGGATCTCAAGATGATATCATATAGAATTTAGCATGGGCCCCACATCCAATGACAGTTGTCCTTATAAGCAGAGAGGACACAGAGACACACAAAGAAGGTGGTGGGAAGACACTGGGATGATACATCTACGGGCCAAGGAACGACAGACCGCCAGCACCACCAGAAGTTGGTTGAGAGGCATGGGACACATTCTCCCTCAGAGGCAACCCAGCCAACACTCTGATTTCAGCCTTGTGGCCTCCCGGACTGAGAGAGCATACATTTCTGTTGTTTTTAGCCACCGACCTGTTGTAATTTATTAAGGCAGCCCTAGCAAAGGAATACACCTCTCTCTGCAGCGGGACAGAGGGCTTCCTCAGTGGCAGCCACCTTTTTCCAGGTGCCCTGCACGGTATGAAACACTTCACCTGCATTCACCCTGCAAGGTAGGTGTGTCTTCATTTTACAGGTGAGGAACCTGGGGCTCAGGGAGCTACACACAGGACCCCACAGCCAGAAAACAACAGAGCAGGCATCTGGATGTAACTGGAGGTCTCTGTGGGACAGTGTCTCTCCAACATCGTCTTCCTCCTCTCCCTATCCATGGTGCTCACTCCCTGGACATCTGCAGGAAGTGCTGCGGCCCAAGCCACCCACACAGCCACACATCACGAGGATAACTAAGCGTGAGGAGCCAGCAGCTTCCACGAGGGCTGGAGACCTGAGGCCTCCCCACGACCCCATGGGAAGCAGATCTCCAGAGACTAATCCATCAGGGACAACGTTCCTTCCCAGGGTGAAAATAGGTTTAAGCCACCACAGGAGGCCCCTCACCTCGACGATGCTGCGCAGGTCCTGCACGTACATGCGCTCAGTCTCCACGATCTCCCGCACCACCCGGCCCAGGTAGCTGAGCTTATGTGCGGGCCCTGCTGCCACCCGGCTGCTGAATGGGGATAGGGACCCCTTCATGTTCAGCCAGCCACTGGAGTTGTTGTTGCTGTTGGGGGCATGCCGGCCTCGTGGGGAGCTGGCCCCATTCTTGGCGGAAGCCTCGGAGCCATTGGTCTCCATGGCACTGCGGCTGTCACAGGAGGAGCCCGACGAGGAGGTGGTGGAGGTCAGGCTCACCGGCCGCTCCTGGCTGCCATCCTGGCGGAGGGAGGTGGAGATGGGCATCCTGGCATTGCTGCCGGGGGTGGGCACCCCGGGGAGATTCTGGAGCAAAACACACAAAGAGTCAAGCTCAGAATCCCCACAGAGACAGAAAGTAGAGGGGTGGCTGCCAGGGGCTGGGGGGCGGGGTGGGAAGTTAGTGTGCAGTGGGTACCAGGTTCAGTTTTACAAGATGAAAAACGTTCTGTGGATGGATGGCGACGGTGGTTGCACAACAACGTGAGTGTACTTAACACCACTCACTGATCTGTACCCTTAAAAATGGCTAAGATGGTAAATTTTACGTTAAGTATATTTCACTGCAATTAAGAAACAAAACAAAACAAACTGAATCCCAGGGAGGGCTCTTCTGTCAGTCTCTGAGCATTGACAAGGATGCCCGAATAATACTCCTCCCTTATTCCAACAGTTCCACCTCCATCCTTCCCAGGGTGGAGGAAAGGTGGCCCACATGACCATACAGAGCTCAGAAAGGTGAGACACCAGAAAAGCCGAGAAGACATCTCTGGCAGTGCAGTGACCCAGTGTGCCTTCTGAGAATCCAAAGCCCAGCCCCACTGCTTGGGCACAGTACCTGGCCTCTCAGAGCCTCTGCTCCTCACCTGTAAAATGAGGGTGGAGATGGCCTACCCCAGGGCTGTGTCCTCAAGGATGAAGTGACCTGCTGCCTATAAGGCTCTGAGTATGGTACCTGGCACAGAGTAAGTGCTCTGTAAACCTCAACATGGTGATGATAATGGTAGTTGTCAAAAGGCACTTTCTAAGTGCCCACCTGTCAGGGCCTGTGCTGAAGTCACAGTACAGGGATAGGCAAAGATATGGCTCTTACAACATGAAGACAACACACATACCAAAGGGCAATATTCTCCCAGGAGAGCCAAGTCTTGTGAGTACCA